CGAGTACAAGATATTAAACCAAAAAATGCAAGTTATATGATGGGAGACCATCTTCTAAATCAGTGCCCCAGAAATGGCTTGGTATCTTAATTTCAGTTGCCTGAACTTAGAGCAACACAGTGAGAAGGAGGAAATACAATATCATAGCTTATATTAAAAGGTAGGACAGGAAGGTGATTTTAATTCTGTAAATGAGTATTAGTGAAACTACAACTAATAGAGTAGTAGATACCAATTCTGGTGTCCATATTTCAAGAGGAAGATGAAACTAGCTGGTGTGAATTTAAAGGAGAAAACATAAACACTACTCAGACACTGGAAAACATTTTTCTCATCGTTATTTGGTATCTTTAAGGTCAGATTAGGTAACTTTTTAGAAGATGCCTTTATCCAGATTCTGTGGGAATGTCAGTCTGGAGTAGTTTACTGTAGTGTAATTTTGGTATCTATAAATTTGTGAACCAAATAAATCCTCTTGATTCTTCCCATCCACTCCAGCATGACTATTCTTCTCTCCACAGAGGAGAGAGGACTTTCACTAGCCTCAACATTAATGATAGCATCACTAGCTCTGCAATAAGGAAAGAGGCATGCTTAAGTATAACGCTTCTTTGTTTTAACCAGTTGCCTGTAGGTTCATGAAGGAATTTCACATGAAAATGCAGTTAGTCAATGTATTCTCTTGTATTCTGTTTTGTTAGTAGTTAGGCGTTGTTCTTCTCTGAAATAGAGGTAGGATGCAAGAGGGGTAGACTAGTACTTTGATGGCAAACAGAATTCCTCTTAGATATCTGGCTGCTATGAATTGCACCCACATTCAGGGTCAAACTTAACGACGTTTATTCCAATCTTTGCTCATGGTACATATCAGGTTGGTCTGATGAGAACTTAAAACACTTCAGTGTGATCCAAATAAAGACAGATAATTTAAATTAGATTAAGCCATATGCAAATGAGCTGTACAATTTGTGTAGTACAGAGAGTTTTAGAATGCCTATAGACTGGCTGTAGAATGCAGAAGTGTTCACTGAAAAAAGGTGCTGTCTGCGTCATCCTCCTACAATAGGTCATACCCTGCTATTATTACTGAAACTGAATATAGTACCATACTTCGCAGTATTCATTTTATTGGAACTACACAGAGAGGAAGGTACCAAGTAAGGTCCCTGACTAAGGCAAGCACATGTGAATTCATATTAGTATAAAAATATGATCATAGTTAACCAGAGCTATGATCATAGTTAGCCAAATCTCACGAGTGGCTCAAGGACAGTATTAAAAACAAAAACAAAATGAAAAACAGTATATGTACAATTTACCTTCGGGGCTTTGAAATTCAAGTTTTGCATTTTGTTTTCTTCTCTTACAACCATGAGGTTCAGTTCATGAAGCAGTTCATGAAGGCTTCTTGGCTTATGACATTGTTTTAGGAAGTGTTACAGCAAGAAAAACATGATCAGACTTTCAAGATTTGGTAATATTAGTTTTGATCTCATATAGAAAGAAATAAAAATGTATCCTAACTGCAAGTCATTTTGGTTTGGCTTTTTTAGTGGTCAAGCATTTCTGAGGACATTTCCTGTAGCTCTGCCTACAGCATATTCAGGGGGCCAGGTACCATTGGCTGAAGCTATCATTACCAAACAAAACCTGAGCTCTTTCAAGGAAGCGATGTGATAACTTATGCACAAAAGGATTAAAAATGAGACAAATAAATCTCAGCAAACATACATGATTGCACACTTTCAAACCTTTCAGTATTGCCATAATATTAAGAAAATAATTTTACTTATAAAATGTTTTTAAGTCAGTATTGCCTGTGATTTCAAGCAAGGCATGCTTGAAATTCAAACTAAATGCTAATGGATAAACGTAAAAAGCTGGAGCTAAAACAGAACACCACAAAGATTTTGCAAAAATATTCAGCCAAAATCAATTTTTCTCTCTTCTTTCCTTTCACTCTCCATTCTATTTCCATCCTCAGTTCACTCTCTCTGTATGTTTTCAAGCATAAGTTTTTTAAAACAAGGACCCTGACATTCACCATCTTGATGAAGCATATGTTTAAGTAAAGGATTTTGTAACATTAAAATGGTTGACAAATTTGTGTATGAAGCAGGGCAAAAATTATATCCCACTTCCTCCATGAGGGCTAGATAGCAATAATTTTTAAGTCTGCTGTTGTCCAACACATATGTGATTGATACGTTATCAGCACAATGAAAGCTGTTGGGGTAAGAAAATAACTTTATTTGCTGGTTTAATGTTTGGAGCACAAATACCAAGAAGACACAGCACCTCTCATAACAAACGTTAACCCTCCATGTTCTGTTTAATTGTCATTTCTGCCTTCCTCTATTTCCCCTCAGGTTCCTGGCACAGTAAGTAAACTGGCACTGATTTTATTTATTCTGAATATGCTGAGCTGTAATGTGCAAGTGGTTCAGTTTTACTTTTCCAGCAGTTAGGACAAGAACCGTTTGAAAGACGAGTGGCACATCTCGCTGGGAATAGAACCACTGTGCCCCTCCCTGTCACCATGGCTACAGCTCAGCATGCATTTTTTGGCAGAAGTGATAATTTAAGCAACTGCTGATTACTTATTACTGTCCTTGCATTACCTCCTCTGTTGGTCAGGTACAAGTTTGTGGTAGGCCACATTATTTATCAGATCAGGAAACTGGTCCTGATCCAGCTGAAAAACTTTTTTTTTTTGGCCTTTTTATTTTCCAAGCAATAAGTTTTCTGATTCAGTCAGTCGTGTAGCCACACAAACATATTGTACCTGTATAATGGAGGAGGTGGCACGAGGGCAGGAACAAGTGGCTGAAGAGGTGGGGACCAGGGATGATTGAAGCACATTATCACTGAGTGCAACCAGAGATTGAGCCTGGAGCTCTCTTTAAAGCTGTGGATTGCTCCTCCATGGTGATACTGCTTCAGTCAGTTCAGCAGTCCAAGTCCATGGCCGCCCAGTCCTGCCTCTCCATCTCCTCTACTACCTTGTTGCAAGTGATTATGGAGCTGCACCAGGAACCTGATTGGGGAACCTATCTGTCTGAAAAATGATCCAGTAAAAATGGCTAGCGTTATGACACTATAGGGATAACACATGAAGCATTTCACGTTTCATTTTATTTTGATAGACCAACATTTTAAAGGCTTCAGGATTAAAGGCTGTTACTTCTGTCACAGTGATTATAGTCATGTGGAAGGAAAGTGTGACCTCTCCTTCCCTAAAAAAGTCCCATGGCTGGATGCAGCTCTCCAGAGAGAAGCATTACAAAGCCTTGTTCAAATCCCTAGTATTAAATATGTGAAGTTGTTAAAACTTCACTGTGGACAAAGGATATGTAGATCTGAATAAAAGTGGTAGTAGACTGTCTGGCTGGGAATTAAATAATATTGCAAGGCTGTGTAAAAGTCACCTATTCTCAAACAAAAATTTAGGGAGGTCAGGGCACGTTCAAAATAAAATTTATAGTACTTTTGTTGTCTCACATCTACCATAACACAATTTTCATTCTTAGATTCTCTTAAAACCACTGATAACAAAGGACTGGCAACAGGGATGCTTTGATTGTATAGAGATTTACTTATATGCTTGTGTAAATGTAGTATGTATCAGGCATATATGAATATTATAAATATTTATAAAAATTATACCATTTATAGTATATATTCTATTAAATATATTAAATGTATATTGCTACAGCATTTTTGCTTTAATTTTTAAAAAAAGCAAGCATGTTTCCAGTTCATTGGGTTTCAGCAGTGACACTGCAAGCCGTTTCCAGCCCACCTTGCAGAAGCACTCTGGCGCCGCTGTGAAGGATCCTGGGCGAGTGTTAATGTCTCTCTCCAGACCTGCTGTCGCTAACCTCACCTTGCAGACTGGGGCTCCGGTGGGTGTGCACAGGCAGCACCATGTAGGACTCTTTAAAAACTACTGACTGGTAAAAGCTGGTGAAGAATCCCTGTATCCACTTTACATCTAAGTCAAAGTTATAAGCAGTTTCTTAAAACTGAACATATAAGTTCAAGCTGTCCCATCTTGGTAAAGCCAGGTAAAGCGCAGATGATCACTCCTCCTACCTCCCTCTAATTTCCATCCTGAAGGGAAGCACTAGTTCCAAGGATATCTGCAGTGCTCTAAGTACTCTGCAGGGAGATTCTTTAGTTATAACCGTGGATTTCAACCTGTCTTCCTGAAGTAATTTCTGAATTGTTTCTAAAAAGATTGCAATGATGTGACCAGGAAAATCAAGTTAATTGTTAGTAAATACAATACAGGGGGCCACATTGCCAATGAAAAACATTTAGATCTGCAAACAGAAAAAGTTTTGAAGTGCTGGTCCGGGCAAATGGTGGAAGCTGAAGTGGAGGTGTTCACAGAGCACAGCAGTCGCTCTTCTGGTTCAGGCTGTGCCTCCGTCACCGGGCCAAGGCCTTTCTCTGCCAGCTGCGGCCATCCCTGCTTGGGGCACAATCATCTACTGAAACAGAATTTCACCTACTGCCCTTTCTGGCAGTTGCGTTCAGCTCTGCTCGCAAAACTCAGGCCTTGGGGTCCGAGCACCACAGGGTGATACAAGTGCTGCCTGCCGAGGCCAGCCAGGCTCAGGGCAGGGCAGAGACCCTCCGCACGCCTTCCCTGCCGGAGCCCGGGCCAGGGGCCGAGGGGAAGGAAAGCCCCAAACCCAGCTACGTGCTCCCTCACCCTGGGGGTACTGGCAGCAGCATCAGCGGCATAACCGGGGCAGCAGCAGAAGCCCCTGCGATTGCCTGCGATGGAAAACGAGAAGGGAAGGGCGTCCCCCGGCCATGCCTCGCTGCAG